GGAGGGAGAGAGAAACAAATATATGAAAACAAGAGCAAAGAAGTTTTCCAAAAAATCCTAGAGAGACACACGGACGCACACACACGACAGAAAATCTAGGAGACCAAAGGGAGAGTTCAAGGCAGAAACAAGAGAGGAGGAATAACTGAGAGACTCACAGACAGACAAAGACCGGGAGAAACAGGGAGAGAGGCAGACGCGCGCGGGAAGGTGGAAAGGCTCGGGGGAGCGCGCGCGGGGACAGAGCCCTAGGGCGCGGGGACCCACCCAGCATCTTCACGGTTTGCTTGTGGTTCTGGTCCCTGAGCGAGGCGGCCACGGCCTCGCCGCGCCCCCGGCGCCACAGCTTCCTGCCGATGAGGCTGTAGAGCACCGTGAGGCAGAAGACGGGCAGGAAGAAGAAGACGCTGGACACCCACACCATGACGGTCAGCAGCCCCGAGCTCACGGCGAACTCGGTGGCGCGGCACTCGTTGGTGTCCCGGGGGTCGGTGCCGTTCTCGTGCTCCACGCCCACCAGCACGAAGATGGGCCCGGCGCTGCAGAAGGCCACGGCCCAGATGACCAGGATGACCAGCTTCACCCGGCCTTTGGTGACCACCACCTTGGCCCGCAGCGGGAAGCAGATGGCGAAGTAGCGCTCGACGCTGAGCGCCGTGATGGTGAGCACCGTGGCGTAGGTGCAGCTCTCGCTGACGAACTGGAAGAGTTTGCAGAGCAGGTCGCCGAAGTTCCAGGGCCGGTACTGCCAGAGGCGCACGAGGTCCAGGGGCATGCAGAGGAAGATGAGCAGGTCGGAGAAGGCCATGCTGGACAGGTAGAGGTTGGTGGTGGTGCGAAGCTCGCGGAAGCGGGACACCACCAGCATGGTGAGCAGGTTGCCCGCGATGCCCACCACGAAGAGCGCCACGCAGGCGGCCGTGACGCCGGCCAGCAGCGGCGCGGGGAACAGCGGCGGCAGCTCGTCGGCCAGCGAGGNGGGCCGGGCGCGCGGGGAGGAAGCTAGTCGAGGAAAAAGAGAAAAGTGACGAGCCGAAGCCGAGGTGGAAGGGGACATTGAGCGCTCGGGGCGGGGAGGAGTGGGGAGAGGGAGGCCGGGGCGCACGCACACTCACACACGCACACACACGCACGCACACGCATACACGTGGCGAGAAGAACAGAGTGGCCCTCCGCTCCTTCTGGAGTCTCCCCTTTCCTCCACCCTCGCCCCTCAAAGCCTCTCTCCCCACCCAGCAGCTGGCCGGCCTCCACGCACGTACCTGTCACCGGCNGCCAGCCCTGCCTGGCCTTCGCGTCGTCGCTCCAGCTGCATCTCGCACTTCCCCAAGGGGCCCGGAGCGCGGGGACCTCGGGGCCCCCGCACCGCGAAGCGGGAGCGCGAGGAGCCGGCTCCCCGGGACTGGGCGCTGCCTGGCTCGTGTGGCCCAGGGGCTGGTGACACGCGGGGAGGGGCGGGGACGGCGGCGGCGGGGAGGACGCCAACCGCAGCGGAGACCCGAGCTGTCCCTCAACAGGGGGTAGAGTTGGCCGTGGACCTGGTGGGGAGACGAATCGAGCGTACCCAACTGAGCTCGGGAAGTGGGGGCAGGGAGTAAAAAAAAGGGGGAGGGAACCTAGTGTTAGTGTTCCCGCGGGGAGGAGACCTGTGCGCACCTGGGAAGCGCCTCACGCAGCCCTAGAACCGAAAGGGGCTCAGAGGCGTGCGGCCGCGCGT